CAGGGAGAAAATTAGAAGGCCCAAAGCCCAACTAGAATTAATTTGGCTACTGCCATAAAAGACAATAAGAAGTGTTTCTATAAATACATTAACAACAGAAGGAAGGCTAAGGAGAATGTCTGTCCTAACCTGGGAGGTCCTGGTTGACTGAGTGTTAGCAAATGTGATGCTCATCTATAAGAGGGGCTAGAAGGAGGATGGGGGAACTACAGGGCTGTCCCTCTCTCCTCACTGTAAGGGAAGATTATGGAGCAGATTATCTTGAAAGCAAATGCGTGGCACATACAGGACTACCACGTGATCAGGTCCAGTGAGCAGGGGTTTGTGAAAGGCAGGTCCTGCTTAACTAACGTGATCTCATGCTATGTCAAAGTGACCTGCTTCTTGGATGAGGAAGAGGGTGTGGATGTTGGAGAAAGTGGCTGCTCACATCTTCAATAGCTTTACTGTTCTCTGGATAGAAACCTGTCTGGGTGGCCAGGCCCAGAGAGTGCTGGTGAATGGAATGAAATCTAGTTGGTGGCCAGTCACAAGTGGTGTTCCCCAGGGCTCAGAATTGGGGCTGTTTAATATCTGTATCAATGACCTGAATGAGGGGATCGAGTGCACCCTCAGTAAATCTGCAGATGACACCATGTTGTCTGGGAGTGAGTGTTGATCTGCTTGAGGGTAGGAAGGCTCTGCAGAAGAATCTAGACAGGTTGAATCAATAGGCTGAAGACAGAGGTGTGAGGTTCAACAAGGCAAAGTGCCGGGTCCTGCACTTGGGTCACAACAACCCCCTGCAATGCTCCAAGCTTGGGGAAGAGCAGCTGGAAAGCTGCTTGGCAGAAAAGGACCTGGGGGTGCTGACTGATGGCTGCTGAACATGAACCAGCTTGTGCCCCAGGTGGCCAAGAAGGCCAACAGCATCCTGGCCTGTATCAGCAGTAGTGAGCCCAGCAGGATCAGGGCAGTGATCATCCCCTGTGCTGGGCACTGGTGAGGTCACACCTCAAATCCTGTGTTCAGTTCTGGGCCCCTCACTACAAGAGAGACATTGAGGTGCTGGAGCGAGTCCAGAGGAAGGCAATGGAGCTGGTGAAGGGCCTGGAGCACACGTCTCATGAGGAACAGCTGAGGGACCTGGGGGTGTTCAGTCTGGAGAAGAGAGGGCTCAGGGGGGACCTTATTGCTCTCTACAACTGCCTGAAAGGAGGTTGGAGTGAGGTGGGGGTCGGTCTCTTCTCCCAAGTAACAAGCGATAGGATAAGAAGAAACAGCCTCAAGTTGTGCCAGGGGAGGTTTAGACTGGATATTAGGGACATGGAAAGATTTATCAAGCACTGGAACAGGCTGCCCAGGGATGTGGTAGTCACCACCCCTAGTGGTATTTAAAAGACACATAGAACATAGAATTATTTAAGCTGGAAAAGACCTTTAAGATCATCAAGTCTTCGGGAGTGTCACATCCTTAAAAAAAAAAAGTGCTGGGGACATGGTTTAGTGGTGGACTTGGCAGTGCTGGTTATACTTGATCTTAAAGGTCTTTCCCAGCCTAAATGATTCTGATTCTATAAGAAGCAAGTAGTCCAGCCTTCTAAAAATACCACTGAAATGTTAAGTTTTGTTAAACACTTGACTACATCTGAAACATGGCTGCACCTCACAGATTGGAACAGTCTTTAGAAATCGTCTTGTCCCACCTCTGCTCTCTGGAGTGATGAATGAATATTTTGCTGTTTACAGTTCTACTTCAAATCTTCTCAATCAATAGGACTCCCACTGTTTACATGGAAGTTTTCCTACTATTTTAGCTGATAGCCCCCACCAGCATTTCCTCCTCTGATACTTTTTTCTCCAATTATCTCTTCACCAAAAGTAATTCTGAAATATCAGTTACACATTGAAGCACTAATAAAATTTAAAGATGATTATATTTTACAGAAAACATTAATGTAGATGGATAGGTAGATATCTTGGACAGAGTCAGTTGCTTGGAGCTGCAGCTATTCTGGGTATCTCTCAATTTCCCTTCATAACAATTGGAAAATGTTTGACCCAATTAAAATAAAAAGTTGAAATCATTGAGCTAAGGCAGAAACAAAATAAATCTTACATTTAATGCATTTTTCTCTCCACTGTATCCCATTCATTCATCTTAAAATGTTGGTATTCTGCCATCCAATATTCCAGTGCACTCACCCTTTGTAGCTTTATCCAATTCCAGACGGTAGGTCACACTGTGAACTACACTACACTATTTCTGGCCCAAAACAGACTTCTAAAAGCATCTCAGTACCTAAGGCTTTTGACATTTTTTGAGTTTCTGAAAAGTAGGTTAATGTAAAGCACTACAGCAAATCATGGCTTGCTCTATTTTTCATAGGGTCCAAGCTGTTGATGCTGTTCTCAAAGTTCTTGCATGTTTTAGCACTTCTGTCTCCTTCACCTTCACAGAAAGGTCATCTGGAGCTTCAGCAGGCTAGCAAAATGCCAATAACAAATGGGGCAATAATCCTACCAGACACCACGACATCATAGTTGGCATTTATAACAGAAAAAAATAAAGAAGCTTGAAGATTTTTTTTTTTTTTTAAACTGAAAATAGTATTAAGGAAACATCACAGACAAAAGTTTTCTTCTTGTTCAGGCAGCCTCCTAAAACTTTGCTTTGTCAAAGAACTGTGAAATCGCACCATCTACCTATTGTCACTGTGTAGAGCTGCATAACATCACAGAAACACCAAAGGATTTTATTCCCTCCAAACGCTCTTCTAAACTTAGATTTCATCTAGGTTTGGGATTATGAAAAGTGTATATACCCAGCCTTGGGCTCCTCCTTTCTACCTTCACTGCAGCCAAGCTCTGGTCATACATACTGCTAAAATGTCCCATCACCCTCCCTAATCATTCAGAAATATGGACAGCTGCTTTCTAGAAAGATTTGAGACAGCACACCATCTCCTTCCATGACTTTTCTTGTTTTGACACTGAAACCATACAGTATTTCACTCTTCCTACTCTTGCAGCACTGCCCCTCTGGAGTTTTCCAATTATTTCGCCAGCCTTTTCCCTCATATGTTCTGGTGAATTCTTTCTGCCCACTCTCCACAGAAATAAAAGCACTGTGGAAAGCCCTTCTTTTCTGTCCTCTCCCCGTTTTCACTCCCAACCAACTATTTGATAGCTAAGATCAAGCACATGCAGAGAACAAGTCTCCTAAAATTGGATGGAATGTGGTCATTTAATATCCTTACCTTCCCTTTTGAGTGCATGTCAATCAATCCTGGATTTTTCCCCACAGGCTGAGTCTTCTTTCCTTATCTATTCTAATGTGGCCTAGATAGTTGCTCTGTAGGTTTGTCTTGATGTCATCCTCTACCACTAAACTACTGAAGCTAAGCCTAAGTTAAGGAGGATGTTAGACAGACTAGGTATTGAAACATTAGGGTAACATTTCCTCTCTTGAGGCATCCCACACAAATGCACAAGATCAGGTTTAGCACTTAGCCCACTGGAGCAGTAGCACTGAATCTTGACTACTGCCATCCAGAAGTAGCCAAACACAGCAACCAAAGGCATCTTCTGAGGGAGTACCATCATTAAGAATGACCCCACATTACAGAGGGGGAAAGGAAGGTGTCTTTAATATTAGCATTGTAACAAATCTACCTTTTCAATTTTAGATCTGCATTCTTCCTACAACAGCTTAACAACTTACATTTCTGCAATGTACCTCCACTATAAAATTAGTGTTCCTCACAATTTTTTTCTATTTTTTTTTTTTTTTTTATGCTTACATTCTCCCTGAAGATCCTTTCTTCCTATTGCTTACTTTTAGTACTGTCCTGGGTTTAGCAGTAGCAGTCAATTTTTCTCCTTCTTGGTAGCTGGTGCAGCACTGTGTTTTGACTTTCAGCCTGGAAACAGTGCTGATAATACCAATGTTTTCAGTTGTTGCTAAGTAATGTTTACCCTGACCAAGGACTTTGTGAGGCTCATGTTCTGCCAGGGAGAAGGGGAAGCCAGGAGGAAGCAGAGAGGACACCTGACCCAAACGGACCAAAGAGGTATTCCATACCACAGCACGTCATGCCCAGGGGGGGTAACTGGGAGTTACCTGGAAGGACACGGGGTCTTCTGGGTTGGACTCGTTTCTTGGGGGGTGCTATTGTATTCTCTTCCCTTGTTATTTTCCCTTACCATTGTTGTTGGTGGTAGCAGTGGTGATTTGTGTTGTACATTGGTTGCTGGACTGTTCTTGTCTCAACCCGTAGGAGTTGCACTCTTTCGATCCTTCTCCCCCTCCCTCTGGGAGCAGGGAAGGGGAAAGCCCACGAAGGGGGGGGGGGGGGGGAGCCTCGATTGCTTCCAGCCTGGCACCACTCACTGGGAGTGAGTGAACAAGCTGTCTGGCTAGGGTTTAAACCATGACAAGTACACATTCCTCTTTAAGATGAAGTTTAACACTAATAACTTGACTCCAGAGAGACCACCCCCCCCAAACATCCACAACATCAAAATTTCATTATGTTGGATAATTTGTTTCAGGTTCTTTGGAACCACCAAAAGAGTAAGAAACAAGTTATGTTATCAATTAACAATTCTTTGCTTAGTCTGTTATAAGTAGTATAGCATAAGTAGCATTTCCCATATGCTATGAGAGCTGCAAGTGTGTATGAGTTACGCAAACAATATCACCATGTGTAAGCACCTTCATGAGCAAACCACCAAAGAGATGAAGTACCAACACACATTTTATGTTTGAACTTTGCTAGCTATCAGTCTCTCTATTGGTGTAGCTTTTCAATTATGACACAGGATGGCCCTAGAAACATGCACAAAATATTAGTAACTGCATGCCTCATTTCCTGAAACAAAATAACAAACTTAAGCATCTATTTCATAGACACCCAAGATCTCCACTTTAAAGTTGTTTTTAAATGATGCCTGGTCTAGAGTTGTATTTTTTAAATGTCCTCTCCCTCCTGCACAGCAAAACATTCCACAACAACAGGTATTTATACCACCCTTTTTATTTTTCAGCCAGAAACGCAGTTTTACAGGGTATTTCGTTAAACATTGGAGTTTATTTCTTAAAGAAAATCCCCATCTCTTTGGCATCTGACCATAATCTGTTTTTCAAACTAAAGACTATATAAGAAGATTTTACTTTCAAAATCATTGTTCAATACATTGAGTTTACACTTGTGTTGTTAGCTTTTAAAAAAACACATAGGTTTGTTGCAATGATTTAAAAAACCTAAAAAAAAAGATAATCAAACTAGCAAAATGCAGACTAATGGGCTGCCTTCATTTACCAGCTGTGGAATGACAGAATGAGGACTCCACAGTGCATGCACTAAGTAGTGCTTTCTATTCATTCTGAATGATAAACAAACAAATATTAATTCTACCAGAAACAACTGATCAAACAATTTATGTTTCAAAAAATGTGATCTTATTTTTAAACTACTTCTGAGAGGTCATCAGCCAAAAGCTGCACACTGATTCAAGTAAAAGATTGCACCTAAAATTAAAAACCCCTCTAAAAACTATTGCTCCTTTTTAAAGTTACTACGATGTTTTAAATACATCTACGAATACAGCTGCCAAACTGAGTTTTACATCATGACTGGATAAAAAATTCTTAAGTAACATAAGTAAGCCAGTGTATTCAATCTACTGAGATAAATAATCCAGGATTATCTCTTAAAAAAAAGCAAACAACAAAAAGTAAATCAAAATCGGCTTTCCAGATCTCTAGTGTTCAGTGCTTCAAATCAACTGCACTTCCAAAATAATGAAGTTATTTAACATCTCCTGTTACCATGCATGATACTGAAATCACAGGTTAAAAATCAAAACCATTACTGACATATCAAAGCAGACATTCCAGTTTATTTACTGGAATCTGCAGTGAATCATTTTTTGTGCCATAACAATGTGAAAAAAAAATCCCACTTACAAAAAAAAATCTTTACTCCCCAAAAGATTTTTTTCTAATGACTCAAATACTTATCCTGAACAAGTTTTATATAGAACAGAGGAGGCAAAGCAACTACTTCCACACAGAAACAAAAAAAAAAAAAAAAAAAATCATTTAATAGGATTCAAGTAGCAAAGGTTTGCTCTGAGTTAATCTCACCCTCATCACCATTGTAAGTGCAGTCTGAAAATGTTTGAACTTAATTGCTTAAACAGAAGTGATCTTATTTAACCAAGCTCACTTTCCTCTCCATGTGAAAAGAAAAAATAAATACGTATGTTTTACTGTAGAATACAGGAACAGAAAGTCAAACCAAAAAACCTCCTAAACTTAAGCACTTTTCCAAGAGCAGTTTCTAACATCAGGCCAAAATCAGCAACAACCAAGCAGACATCACCATTTTTTCAGTGTTAAATTACTGGAAATACCAGCTCAAACTGTTAAAAAAAAAAAAACCAATCCCAAACCCCACAATCAAAAGGTGGTGTTTTTTTTTTTTTTGTTAAAAGGTGTTCAAAGAAAATATCCACCAGTTGAAGTCAAATTTGCATCAGAAGCTGCTTTCTTAGGAAAGATTTCTCCCTCCACGTATTTTTAACACATTGCCATTTCCAAGATTCTATTCAAATATATTACTTTCTGATAACATTTAGCTGATACAACCACATACAATGTGGATAGTCATGTACACAGTACAACAGTGGATTTTTGCAGCAACAGAAATAACAAGAAATCGGTTCTAAATTCAAGTTGATGGTAGCTCATGTGCTATTTCTTGCAAACACACGGTCCCCTCTGAGGTTGAGGTGTTGGAGCTGGTATTGTAGCACTTCCGTGTCAGCAGGTTCCTTAATGCTCATTTTGTCTAAATTGAGGTAGTCCAGGGATTTCGAATGAGCCCATTTACCTTTTAAAAGGCAAAGAGGCAGGGGACCATGAAGTGCCTTGTAAGGTTCATATGGTAAAGCCTTAGTGCATTTATCCCCTGAGCTCGGCATCCTTCTCCTCCTCCTTCCATTTACTGCTGGGATCTCATATGGCTGATAGTACCTACTTCTAGTTTTGTACAAACGGGAGGAACGTGTAAGTCCTGAATCAAGCTGTTTGGAGTGCAAGTTTGGCCCAGATTCCCCTTTATTCTCTTCACTTCCTGTACACTTCTGGGCTAATTTTAGCAGCTCCTCTCCAGTTGTGAAGCCGACCAGGTAGTTAGAATCCATGTGCAGGATTTGATATCCCGCAACTGTCCGTCGCATTGGTGAGCAGGGGGTACTGGAACAGCGTGGCTTCTCTGCTTCCATCCTGCCCACAGGACTCACTTCTGCAAGAGGCACAGGAAGGGTGGATATGGTAGTTCTGGACTCTCCACTTATGTCAACTTCCATTTTAAACACAATGCTATCCTCCTAAAAATAAAACAGATCTTGATCAGAAATAAAGCTTTTATGCAACACAAGGACTTGAGAGAGGACTGCAGAAATGAGATTTTGTATTACCCAGAAGTTATGACTGATACTTTTCTATCCAGCCTTGCTTTATGTTCTACAGGTTGATAGCAAAACTGACAACAGCTTTTTATCTTAGGTGTTTTAATAAAAGAAACCATAAATATGTTCCCGATATTCTCAAACATTAAAATTGTTCTCGAGTAGTACTGTACCCAAAAAAGAAGCTTCTTCCCACTCGATTCCTTATAGCCCCTCACTATAATAGCAATTTCTGTGTAATCAACTGTGTATTTTTGCTATTGACAATAGTTTCAGTAAAAAGAGCTTTCAATAAATGTGTTTAAAAGCTACTACCTCAGTCAGGCACAACCACAGACCAGACCTGATGCTCACCTCTTACAGATGTGAAGAAAGCTTGCTTTATATTCCAAAAATGGCATCCTGGCTGTTCAACACCTGTCCTTATAGGTCATCAGCAAATTCCCCTTTCCCTCATCCTATTTTTTTAGTCACAATTAACCAAAAGCACGCACACTATTTTATTCTAATGTATTTCTAACACAGGAAACAGCATACTGGTAGTGTTTAATGAATAAAGCATAATATTCTTATAAACATCTTAAGAATAACCAGTCTTCTGAATCCTATGGTTTTCTATTTCTTTTGGAAACAGACTATTTTGCCAGGACCTCATAGCTTTGTACTTCCTCACAACTCTTCCAAATACATTGTCTTGTGCCTTTACAGATACAACTGTCTGCCACAAAATATTACCACCTCTAAATGGGAAAGGTCAGGTCACTATCTCAGCAAGTATATACCAGTGGATGCCAGAACACAGACAATGCTTAATTATTTTCCTTTTCTTGTTTTCAGCATCATCTACACCATTTCAGTGACACAGCCTACATCACAGAAGAGTCATGGGGCAGTGCTGTCATGGAGCAGGATCATCACAGATAGAGCAGGGTTGACACAGACAGGTAGAGCGGGGTTGCCATAGGACACATGCTTGGTAGCATCCTATACTGCCATGTCTGAAAAGACAGCTCTGCAGGTACTATTTTGAAACTATTAACCTAAATAATAACAAAATTATACTCAGCCTTTGACTAAGGACAGCTATTAAAAGAAAGACAGTGGTTAAAAAAAAGACCTACTCCAAGATATCAGGAAAAATAATCAATGCAGCTTAAGTTTTTTGGGTTTCTTTTTTAACTGAAGCACTTTAAATGACTAGCTCTTTGTCTCAATGCAATCGGCAGCAGGTATTTGGGTGTTTGAAGGAAAGGTGTCTCATTCACTAACACCATCCACATTGCCGACGGTCAAACTTACAAGAGTTATGCATATAATGGCATTAAAGTTGTGTTCTCTGCTGCTTTCTCAAATGCTCCTTCCCATACTTAAATACTAAAATGAGTGTTTAAGTGTAACACAACTACAGAATAAAAATTAATAAAAGCCAAACAGCACATGCAGGTACAGTAAAACTGAGTTAAATTTACAACTAGTGAGAACAGAAAACTTTGTTCTGGAATACTCAGTTCATGTGACTTTACCATAACATACTGCATTTGCATGTGATTATGCATGCCTCATGGCAAAGCCAACAGCATAAGGCTGGTCTAAAATGAGCAGATTATGAAGAAAGCCATACTACAAAGTAAGCACTGTTATGCAAGAACTTAATTTCAGCAACTGTGCTGCCACTGCCTTTGTTTCAAAGACAGTGTGAGAATCACCCTCTTCTGTCTTCATTATTCTAACAAGTCTTATTTTTTTCCCTTGAGGAAGAGTGCAAACACACCACGTCAGGCAGAATATGGTTCAAAATACACCAACAGCAGCAGGGTGGTGGGAGGAGCAGTTTTCAGTAATGGACGCGACTAGGAAAAAGGATGAAGAATAGACTGGGAAACAGGAAGATGAATCAGTGCTGCTCACTTCTACTCCCTGTGGTAAAACAAGGCATCAAGTGTTCAGTCTTCACTACACTCCTCCTGGAAATGCTCTAAGGACTCTTACTGTATTCAGGACAAGCTCTGTCAGAAGTCGGCCAATGACTGGCACAAGCATTGAATGCTCTTCCACACCACAGACTCTCCTCCATCACTCCCACTGAAGTCTGCGCAACTTCAGGCTTCTGCCATCAATTCATTTCCACATGTAGCTATACAAGTATGTGCAGTGGCTTATTGCCCCACTCTAGTAAGCACACTAACAAGGAAAGACAGAATCATGTTCATAGGAAATACCTACCAATGCACATAATTGGCTACTTCCTTTGAAATAGGTACATACAGACTCACACTTAGGCCAGCTAAATTCCCTATGTAAACCAGCATGCATAACTTACATAGAAAGAAGTTAGGACTCAAGACTGTTTTCCTATGCATCTGTAAACTACTCAAAACAGCACCCCAGCTGTTCAGATACATTCCCCAACTACCTTAATATGCAGAGACAAAACTGGCAAAACACACCTGCCAATAAACCAAAGCAGCTTAGGAAGCATCTTACTCAAGACAGTAACACTAATGCAGTCAATGTATATCATACATACTACAATCTCCATTTAAACAGAACCTTCAGCTTCTCTTTACCCTTCACTAAAAGCAAGATTTATTACAGAGAAATACAAAGCCACCCCTACAAAGCTGGGCACTAGTTTGTTACCATCAGACAAGTGCAGTAATAGCATATTCACGTTTAGTACTTGCCTCAGAGTACCAAGAACGGCATGGCCACTGTTCGTGATTATAACCTGTAACTGAAGAGAGAGCTATGAACGACTGCGCACCCAGTTGCTAGCGGCGCACCGTTACTAGCGGCTAGCACGGCAAGCGCCCCTGAGCAGCCCCACTGCAGGCCCCGCATGACAATTCCACTAGCTTCCTTCCGCGGGCGGGTACCAGCGCGAACGCCCCGAGTCCCTCCTGGCCCTGCCCGAACAGCTCCACCACCGTCAACTTACCCGCACTGCCTCCTCAGCCGCTACCGACCAAGGGGCCCTGCGCCCCGCGAGGCGGGTAGAAAGGAGCTCTGCGCCAGGGCCTCCGCGCTGCGCTCGTGGGGGAAGCCCCTTCCCATGAGCCCTGCCGCGGCCGCGGACTCGCAGCCCAGTCGAGAACGGCCCCGCACCGCTACGCGGGGCGAGGAGAGGCCCCGCCACCCGCGGCAAGGCCGGGTCGGGCTGCTCCCCGTGACCCCCACCCCGGGCCCCGCTAAAGGTGCCGGCCGCACCGCTCCCACCGTGGAGCCAGGGCCGGCCCGGCTCCCCCCACCCTGCCCTACGGGCACCGCTGGACGCACCCGCCGTCCCTGTTCAGGTGCCCGCTCCGTGAGGCGCGGACAGACCCAAGGCGCCATCCCCGCCTCCTACCTGCGGCGCGGACGGAGCAGGAGAGCACCTAGTGCCGCCCTTCACTTCCCTTTCCTTCCCTTCCCGGCCCGGCCCGGCCCACGCGCTGGGCTGGGGCACGTCCCAACGGCAGCGACAACCCCTCCTCTCCGAGGGCCGACCCCTCTCGGGTGGGACCGCCCCTCGCGTGATGGTGGCTGGGAGGAGGAGGCCGAGGCCGAGGCCGCGGTGGCGGTCGGGACGGGACGGGACGGGACGGGACGGAACGGAACGGAGCGGAGCAGAGCAGACCAGGGCCGTAAGGGGAACGGCTCAGAAGCAGAGTTTAGGATTGCTCGGGATGTCGGTGTTCACTGCTCTGTGAATGTTGTGGGTTTTCCTCATTTCTCTTGTAATACTTTCAAACTTATGGCGGTAGAATCAACACAGAATGGTTGAATGGTCTGGGCTGGATGGGTCCTTAAAACTCATCCAGTTCCAATCCCCTGCCACAGACAGGGACACCTTCCACTAGAACCGGTTGCTCCAAGCCCCATCCAACCTGGCCTTGAACACTGCCAGGGATGGGGCAGCCACAGCTTCCTCTTCCTGGGCAGCCTGTGCCAGCGCCTCAGCACCCTCACAGGGAAGAGCTGCCTAAGAGCTCATCTCAAACTACGTAATATCCAATATCTAGTCTAACCCCCAGGAGCAGGACAGGGGCCTGGTGTCTCCACACACCTCTGTGTTTTCCTGTGCTTGGCTGGGGCCAGGGCTGCACTGGAAGAGGCAGGAGACTGTAGGTGTCTGGAGCAAGTGGTGGACATTGTCTACCTGAATTTGTCCAGGGTTTTTGATTCAGTGTCTCACAGCCTCCTCCTAGAGAAACTGACACATTACGGTGTTGACAAGCGGTCTGTATGGTGGTGAGGGAAATGGTGACAAGCAATACCCCAGGGGCAACCTGTTACTGGTGGGTCCCCCAAGGGTTGATAGCGAACCAAATACTGTTCAGTATCTTCATAAGTGATCTGGATGATGAGATCAAATTGTAATCTGATGAAGTTTCCCAACGGTACCAAAGTGAGTGGGGAAGTGTGCACTTTGGAAGGGAGAGTCAACCTGGAGGTTGAGCTGGATAGGCTGGAATAGTGAGCTGACACGAACCTTATGAAGTTCAACAAGGTCAAATGTAGAATCTTGCAGATGGGTAAACATAATCCAGAAGTGAAGCACAGACTGCGACCTACTTGGGTGGGATTCATTTCTGTAGAAAGGGACCTGGGGGTCCTGGTGGACAAAAAGCTCAATGGGAGTTAATGTGTGCACCTGCAGCAAAGAAAGCCAACAGGATTCTGGGGAACAAGGGCATCAGAGATAAAGAAGTCATTATCTCACTCTACTCGGCGTTTGTCAGTCCGTGCCTGGAATACCGTGTTCAGTTTTGGTCCCCACTGTACAAAAAAGATGCGGATAGGCTGAAGGGGGTCCAGAGAAGGGCCACTAAGATGATTAAAGGACTGGGAAGCCTGCTATATGAGGAAAGGCTGAGAACTGGGTAGGTTCAGTCTTGAGAAAAGAAGGCTCAGGGGAGACCTTGTTACCATGGTCCAGTATTTAAACGCTGGCTACGAAGAGGATGGAGACTCCCTTTTTACAAGGAGTCATGTGGAAAAGATGAGGAGTAATGGGCACAAGTTAATCCTGGGGAGATTCCAACTGGACATAAGAGGAAACGTTTTCACAGTGAGAACAACCATCCATTGGAATAGTCTCTCCAGGGAACTGGTGGTTTCCCCAGCATTGAATACTTTTAAGATTCAGCTGTACAGGGTGCTAGGACATCTCATCTAGGTTATGTTTTGCCAATAAAGGTTGGACCAGATGATCCTTGAGGTCTCTTCCAACCTGGTGTTCAAAGCTGCGCCTTGAGAGTTCAAGTCTTTCTGGATCCCTGTGCAGAGGTGACTTTCTGGAGTGCCAGGCAGTGAGCCTTGTTGGCACAAATATCGTCTTAACAACCATTCCACCCAATCTGATACTCTCTGGTTTAATAGTCTCACATGTTTGTTCACTTTGCATGCAACTACAAGAAAGTAACAGTAATATCTCTTGGTGACTTTCTCTTCACTGAAATACCATCTATCTCTATCCATATCCTCTGTGGCATTTCCACATCTACAGAGTTTGGACACTGACTAGATACAAACCTTTAGTAATGGTTTTGCCAACAACCAGTTAGATCACTTCCCTGTTTTATTTTGCTTCTTGAAGATTGTGCAGAAGTGCTATTACTGCACCGAACTTTGCAAACAATTGCCTAACTTCCCTCCTGCAAGTAAAAATAAAAAGGAAGAGAAAGTGCAACATCATAGCCCCTGTTTTTTTCCTCTCTCAAGAATAGTTTATTGTGAGCTGAACCACACAGCTGGTATTTCTAATCCCCCTGCAGTAGAGTTGAGCCAGCTTTTGTTCCCGAGTCTTTAAAGACTCATTCTTAAATATATAGCTAAAGTTTATTACCTTCCTTGGAAATGTGTAGATGTCCTCTGTACACAGACCATGCTCTGGCCTCCCTCTGGTCCTAGTGCCCCAGAAGGCTGCAGGTCACCTTGGTCCTGACCTGCAGTAAAGGGTG